GTTCTCCAAACCCTTCCCTTTACCTTCATGTGCAATGTTTTTACTTTCCGCTGCTATACGCTTAGAATTGCATGTGTAGGTTGATTGCTTGACTTGTCATATTTGCTAAAATATGTCCACGATTAAAATTGGGAAAAGGATAGGTTTTTATTTGTCAAGTAGTCTAATCACACCCCCCCCCCTCTAGACATACTTTCGATCCTACAAGAAAAAACCAAAACCGTTGTCGCAGTTTTGCCCTATTAGCCTTTGCAACGTGTTGTATAAGATTGCCTCAAAAGTCATCTCAAATCTTTAAAATTGGTATTGCCTGACATTATTTCGAAGGACCAGTCCACCTTTGTCCCATGAAGGCTGATTACTGATAACATCATAACAACTTATGAATGTCTTCATTTCATGTTAAGAAGCAAAGGAAAGAGGAACCAACAATGTGCTCTTAAACTTGATATGATGAAAGCTTATGACAGGGTTGAGTAGGCCTATCTCCGGGCAATCGTGTTGAAACTCGGCTTCTTTGTGAAGTGGGTTGATATAGTAATGGGCCTGGTCAGCACTGTGAAGTTCTCGATTTTGTTCAATGAAAAAAAAAGCTTCAGGAGTTTAAATCATCTCGAGGGATTCGGCAAGGGGACCCAATATCCCCATATATGTTCTTGATTGCAGTAGAGAGCCTTTCATGCCTCTTAAAATCTAGGAATGAGTCATCAAATCTTCATGGTCTATAGGTGGCACCCACGACACCACCGGTTAACCATTTATTTTTTTGAAGATGACAGCCTGCTGTTTTTTAAGGTGAATGGTATGGGTGCTACTGAGGTGAACCAATTGCTGGATATCTATTGTCAGACACTGGACATCAGATCAACCATGAGAAGTCATCTATATTCTTCAATAAGGGTGTTCTAGAATCGGTAAGATGTGAAATTAAAGGACTCCTAAATGTCCCAAATGAAACTCTAAATGAGAAATATCTGGGGATTACATCTAATATTGGGATATTAAAGAATGGGGTGTTCAAATACTTGAAGGACCAATTATGGAACAAGATCCAAGGCTGGATAGAGAGAACAATGTCAACAGTGGGGAAGGAAGTTTTGGTGAAGCCAGTGGCTCAAGTAGTTCTAGCTTTTCCATGTCATGTTTTAAATTGCCAAAGGGGACTTTGCGAGCTCCTTAACATGTTGATAAGGAAATTTTGGCGGGGCAGCAAGGATGGACATCATAAACCTCATTGGGTTTCATGGAAAGCGATGACACAACCGAACAGTATGGGTGGTCTAGGTTTAAAGATTTTGAATTATTCAAATTGGCTATGCTAGCTAGACAAGCATGGTGCATGCTTCAACAACCTGAATCACTGAGTACTTGTTTCGTGAAGAGCATATATTATCATAATTCTTCTATATTGCATGCAAGCATTGGAAATCATCCTAGTTAGATTTGGAGAGCCATCATTGAAGGAAGAGATGTATTGAAGCAAGGGTTGATAAAACGTATTGGAAATGGCACAATGAAAAACATTTGGGAGGATAACTGGCTACCGCGCGATGAGATGTTGAGGCCATTTGGATGCTTGTTACAAGACCCACCGGTCATGGTGTCTGAACTGATCGACGCCACTTTTGTTGTTTGGAATAGTCAAAGGGTAGAAGAAGTGTTTATGCCCATGGATGTCCCGGTGATCATGGGAATTCCTTTGTGCACGAAGAACTTGGAGGACTTCTGGGGATGGACTTTTGAGAGAAGCAGTATTTTTTCTATGAAATCCGCATATAAAATGCCTGTGATGACCAAGCAACATCGTGAAGCATGGCCTAGAGGGCACTGCCGAATCATCAAGCAATATCAGGGAGGAAAAATCATGGAAACTGCTATTGAAGACTGAAGTTCCTTCAAAGATACGAATGTTTCTATGGAGACTATCAAAGCATTCTATCCCGACTGAGGACATGAGACCCACCACACATGACCAACTCCAGCTCATGTGGACTGTGTGGGGCGCCAGATTCATGGAGCTACTTGTTGTTGGAATGTACAGTTGCTAGATGCACGCTAGCTCTAGTGGATAATGAAGTAGCACATCAACTTATTGCCACGATAGAGCCCAATGCTTAGCTTTTCTCGATGATGGAGTCATTATCACACTCGCACTTTACCAAAGTAGCTATTACGTTATGGGCCATTTGGTCTTCGAGGAGGAAAGCCATACATGAGGGAATCTTCCAAAGTCCACATGCTACTCAAATTTTCATTGACGGATATATGGAAGGAATTGAAATCTTGAAGGAACCAAAGCCAGTGCGTGCTACAAGACCGGGACCTGGACGAAGGCTTGAACGTCGGAAGAAGGCTCCACTAGCGTCCGGCGGGCTTCTCCAAAATCCATGTGGATGCAGAGGTCTCATCACCATCCAGGGGAGGTACAACTGCGGCGATCTATCTCAACAACCAAGAAAATTATACGGGAAGTTTTGTTTTGGTTATCCATAGCATACACGACCCGGTAGTTCTAGAGGTGATCGCCTTCAGGGAGGCACTGTCATTGGCAGAAGATTTGCTTTTACAGAACTTTGTGGTGGCGTCTGATTCAAAACAGGTGATTGGTGATATCCACAGTGGGTACCAAGGGAAACATGCTACATTATTAATGAAATTGCTCAGAGAGTTGCCTGGTTTAATTGTAATTTTACTTTTGAAAATAGAAAGTCGAATAGAGATGCTCATAGTCTAGCCAAGTTTGCACATTCTTTAGGTCAAGAGTGTCACTTGTGAACACATTCTTTAGGTCAAGGGCGTCACTTGTGGCTTGGTCAGTCCATGATGTATTCCACTATCTGTGGTTTTTATTAGTAAACTTGGTTTTACCTGGAAAAAACTGCGTACAGCAAATGGTGCGCATGTTACACGTAAGCCGTTGCCACGGACAATACACGGGTCTACACGATGATTGTTGGTTGCTTTGCTTGTTTGTGACCATAACTAGCAGCGGAAGGCGTACTAACAGTGTCCGGTTCCTGGTGCCCGTCGAGTGTACTCCGATGCATGTTCCTTCCCAGCGTGTACATGCGTCAATAATGGTGTTGTTGTTCCCAGTACTCAAAGCTACTGTGGTTAGCAACGCGCACGCAACCGCCTGCCTGTAATGTCACCGTAGCATCGGCCACTGCTTTTGGTATTTTGTGGTGTTAGTGACTGCAAATACATACTCTCCGTTCCACAAGAGCGTGGGTTATTTTTATTTTTGCCCAAAATCCCTTTCAATTCCCTCAAGGCATATGAATGGCGGTGTTTCTTCGTCAACTTTGTCTTTCGGGCTTCGATCCTCCTCAAATACATCATCTAGATATAGCCAATGAAGCTCTAGTCTTAGGGCAACGAGATTAGGGTTTCTCATCGCGCGTGTGCGACATAGAGATTTGATGTCAGTTTCTTCAGATCTATTCAAGGGTTCAATAACCACAACTCCAGAACGTTGGTCCTTATTGTTGAAATATATTGCCCGCCTCTCTCCATCAGTTTGGACTTTTGGATGAGTTGGCTGAAGCATGAATTTAATATGATATCAAAGCCAAGAGGTCTTCAGTTTAAGATCCTGCCAACACAGTATTATAAAAAAGATTCTGCGACCTACATCAAACCCACGCGTAAGGACTAAAATAGTCTAGACGTGAGGGGGAAGTGTTGAAATATATTGCCCGCCTCCCTCCATCAGTTCAGACTTTTGGATGAGTTGATTGGAGGATGAATTCAATATTTAGGGACACGTGCATGAAAACTTCCTAGTTGTCATCAACAAAGTCAAACCATCTCCAGCAAGGGAGCGGCAACATCGGCGCATCGATGACTCATTCTAGCAGCATGGTTGTTCAATGGTCCAGATACCTCGTGTAATACTTATAGTAACTAATATACTTGTTGGCCATTCCCTTCAATTGGGTTTACAAGTCTACATTTTAACTAGAAAAACATATATTGGTCAAATGTAGTTTCAAACCATATACTCCCTCCATCCTGAATTACTTGTCGAAGAAATGAATGTATCTAGACATATTTTTAGTTCTAGATACAACTATTTATATCCATTTTTGTGGTACAACCATTTATATTCATTTTTACGACAAGTAATTCAAAATAGATGGGACAATTTTTTAACCATATATCTTTATATTCGTTGTCACATGTATTTGTTGCCATATAAATGTTGGCATGTTATACATGTCTTATTAGTCAAATCAAAGTCCTAAAAATCATGCCCAACTTATAAACCCAATCAGAGGGAGTATTAGGGGCAATGTCCTTAGCCAACAGTTGGTTATATTGCCATGTTCTTTAATTGGTACTATCATCGAAATAGGCTCGCTAAGCCTAATAAAAGTAGGGTATATCATAAGAAAGTGTATAAAATAAAAATGAATCCAAGTATTTGTATGTAAACATATCAAACACACTGAAAAGGAGCTACAAGCGCATGCATTGGGAATAGCCTAATTGCCTGCCTTTCCACACTCTACAACGCAGAGGATGGAAATGCGGGAACCTCTCCAACACCATAAACTTTCTATAATATGAAAGCAAGGCGAAAAACTCCCACATGCAGAAGGCACCCAAGACGACCTACTCCTTGAATTTAGGCTAAACTGCCTCTATCCCACACTCTTGAGAAAATTGGCATCGATTCGATCTAGGGCTAAGTGGTCATCCTACTTTACATAGAACCCATGGCTATAAACCAAACGCTCAAAGCTTGCCCAGGAAGAGATGATGCAAGTACCACTCAACTTTAAACAAAGGTAGGACGGGCTAAACGTGGAATCGCCAACGGCCGTACGAACAAGTGGTTATTCTACTTTACATTGAATCAACTTATTGGTCATCTCATCCATGGCTATGCACAAAGCGCTCGAAGCTTACCCTGGACGAGATGATTCAACTACCACTCAACTCTAAACAAAGGTGGGGCAGGGCTAAACATTGGCCGTACACAAGCTAGAGTTGCAAAAGCAACTGAGATGCCATGCCCCAGGGCGTGAAAACATGAAACTGGAGTCTCTCTGGTTAGTGAGGCGGTAGCAACATGGTGAGTTTCTCACACCTTTTGACTTTTCCTGCCAGCGTTTGATTTCTCCAGCAGCAACTCTTGTATGGTGTTCGATGCTTCCTGCCAATCAAAGACCAAGCATGCTGGGAGATAACATCAAGTGATGCTGCAATATGTTACCAAAGGAACTCACTCACCTTTAGCTTCTGTCTTAGATTTTCCTCTTCTTCGTCTCGCCGACTTCTTTCTTCTGAAAAGATGTCGATCAGTGCTTCTTGTTCCTTGTTTGCAGTATCAAGTTGTCTCTGCAGATCCTCCAGCTGCGAAATGAAGACAGATTAGGGACCAGTAATATACTATACAAACTCTTCACAGAAGCATAACCATTGATCATGCCTTGGATTGGGATAACACATATAATGTACTCCCTCCGTCTGGAAATACTTGTCCTAGAAATGGATAAAATGGATGTATCTATAACTAAAATAAGTCTAGATAAAACCATTCCTAAGACAAGTATTTCCGGACGGAGGAAGTAGTAATTAGGTTATTTTATTTGCGAGGAAAAGAACATGGTAATTAGTTGATGTTGTGATGGTTGTAAATAAAATGTCATAATGCTAGACAGGTACTCCCTCTGTAAAGAAATATAAGAGCGTTTAGATCACTTGAGTGATCTAAACTCTCTTATCTTTACAGAGGGAGTACTCACCAAACAGAAACAACTAATGACTAATAAGAAGGTCTGTGAAAGTAGGATTTCCCAGCACCAAACAGTTCAACTTCTTATCCAACAAACCAAAAAGCAACAGAGTAGCATCTAAATCAAAAAGCAACAGAGTATTAAGCAATAGAATTATAATGACAATAGATAATGTTAAGAGTTGCAACAGCAAGCTTTTGTCCCACTGTCGGTGGGAACAGAAAATGATCATCTGGTTGTTTGCACTAGTACCAGATGATTTAAATGGTTCGTACTTATTTTGGAGAAAATATCCAAACTACAGCAGCATAACAGCACCATAATGTTCCTTACAAACTGTAAACCAAAACGCCAACATGGGTTACACAAGTACTAATAAATAGTTCAAGACACTGTGGTTTGCATGTGGGAAGACATAAGTGCTTACCCTCTCTGTCAAAGACTTGACCTTGTCCCGCTCCATAACCAGCTCTTGTGACGTTGCCTCTTCCACAATCAATAACCTGGCAGAAGAGCAGCACCACAAAATAGGGCATCTTATCGTAATCTCAAGATAAGATGTGATATCATAGTAATCACAAATACGGATAGTTGCAGAAACCCATGACGAGCAATGCCATGTTCAAACCCATACGGATAGTTTGGATCATTGCTACCATGTGTTTGTGGGAGGGGGGGGGGGGGTAAAATTCACTTAGATGCACAATTAGGGGACAGGTGACGGGGACATGCATACCAACTCGCTTGGGGTTTCTTCCCCACTTTGTGCAAGTGCAAGCATTAAGGCTGTAGTTACTTTATTTGGTCCTCAAGAACTGTGTCACATTATGCTACACCTAAAAAGTTCCAGCGTGGGACAGATCATTCTATTGATCACATATCATGTGGACTTAAACTTACCACTTTACACTTCCCTTCAAATTATTTTGTAAGTGTGTCTCACAAGACTAATTTAGAACATCACACTGATCTTCTAGTTTCGACATCAGAAAAAAGTAAATAGTGCAGATCCATTTTCAGATATCTTGTATTTTGATTTTGGTATGCAGCAGTCTGAAGTCCAGATTATTGTTCTTGCTACCCATTTCAGCCAGTCAAACCCTAAAAAAAATTACTTACTAGAAGGTAGGCTCAATCCCTCAGCAGTTGCATAACATGGAGTGATGCAAGAAAATGACAGTTCTCACGATATTTGTTTCATCCATTCTCAAATATTTTCAACCAGTCCACATCGAGGATCTGTTATTGCATTACTGGCTGTATAATGATAAGAACATGAAAAATAGCCAAGCCCTGCTGATATTTACCTTTCCTTTAATGATGCATTTTCATCCCTCAATTGCTTGATTACAGGTTCATGATCATCAATGGAATGTCCATCAACGTTACTTCTTGCATTTGGTTCCTGGGGAGCAAACATGTTAGATAATAAAATCTCTTTTCAACAACATCCACATATATATATTAACATTATCCAGCAGTAATAACTACAAAAAATGTAACATGCAGATAAGTAATGTTCACTACATATATAAATAGGTAAAAAATGTAATTTCAAAGGCAAGTGAAAAATAGAAGCATATAATTACATTATACAACAGTAACTACAAAAGAATTGTAGCATGCAGGTAACACAGGTGCGTTATACTTATAAAACAAGTAAAGAATGTCATTTTGAAGGATAGCCTTCACATAAACATTTCACTTTGAAATGACTCCACCTGAAGTTCAATGTGTTTTCTATTAGGGTAGCTAGCATTCATTGCAGATTTGTCTTCCAGTCTATACAGCAGAAATACTAAGTCAACCATGAATTTGTCCAGTAAGAAAAATTATGAACCATCCAAGATTATTAGCTCATGACACTTCACTGTTCAATGCATATTAAAGAAAACCAACTTGTCCCAAAATCAAACAAAAAGAAATTCTGAAAAGAAACACTGTAGTAGATCAGAGGATTAAAGATGATAAGCGGTGTAAGTATTGTAATAGAAGCACACTTTTCAAAGCCACATGCATCATTGTGTAGGAAGGAAGGGTTTGAAGTGTAGATGGGGTAGGAAAGTCATCTGTTACACATATAAATAAATATAAACCTAGTGAAATACTTCATCCGTTAAACTAAAACACGACAATAATTTTGGAAGGGAGGGAGTAAGACATTAATACTAAATTGAAACATCAGCACGAGAAGAAAAATTACCGCCAACTGGGATTTGGTTATGCTTCTTTCTTTTTCTGTTGTTCCATTGGACGCGGGCGTTGCCAAACTAGTATTCTCATTCTGGAAATATTTTCTATGTGCATTCAGGATATGAGATTTTGAACTTAATGACGGTGTGTTCACAAACTCAGAATCACTGTCATCACTTGTGTCTGGTAATCCATGCAGTATTGATCCCGCAGATCGCTTAGTCCTGGCAGACTTCTCAGCCTGTTGACAACTAAACGGTGTGCTTGTTTTCCCGCTCTTTTTACTGGAGGCAGAATATGATTTACCAGCGCTGCGCTGTTTTGGATAATCTTTCCCAGAATGACCTGGTGATGGTTGTGCTCCTGGGGAACCTTCAGGAGAGTTTTCTGATAAAAGAATAAAAGCAATATTGGTCAAGAAAATAGCTGGTTATCTGAAAAGAAAAATAATTTAACTGCTATTGAAGTTATGATAAAGTCACTCCAAGCCCACTAAAGAAATGCAGCCAACTCTATGATTTGGACACTAGCACAGTATCATACATATAGCTTTGACACAAACCCCTTACAATACTCCCTCCATTTCACAATCTTTGTTTGGCAAGCATGCCTATCTGAGATAAAATTGAAGTAACAATTTATGGATTGGACCATGCATGTCAAATTAGATGGCATTACTACCACTCCATCTAATATGAGCAAGTATGGTCTGATTTCACGGGTATTAATGAAAATCTGTGCCTTCTAGGTAGGGAAATGTCCAGAATCAGCCGACGGGCCGAGGGCAAGACCAGTCGCTGCGTGTGACGCCACGTGTCCCAGTCAGGGCCCACGCACGCGCAGCAGGCTCTCCAGAAATTTCCGTCCAGCGCACGCGAACTAACCCTTCTTCCCTGTATTCTCTCCTCTCTTTTGTTTACCAGCAACCCAGCAACCCAAATCAGAGGAGGCGGGTTCCGTCCAGCAAGTCAGCCATTGCCGCTCATCGCGTGCCACCGCCTCCCTACACCTAGGTCTCTCCTGGTGCCTGTAGTTTGATGGGATTGCTCAGGAAGATGAGGAAGATAAGTCATTTCCTTCTTTTCCCATGGCCACTAAATTTGCAAGGGTGAGGGAAGGAAGGCGAGCAAGGCTTTGCTGCGGGAGCCAGGGACGAGCTGAGAAGTGGAGCTGCAGGGGGGTGCTCTTCACCATCGACACTCATTGGGTCATCCGCCTCCACCTCCCAAGTCATGGCCGTGGAGTCCGCTGTGGGGCGAAGAGCGCGCCGCTGCCTTTGGCGACACTCGGTGCTACGACTAGCCATGGCCACTACTGAGACTCAGCACCTGCTGCGAGGCTGCCATGTACAATGATGGCAACCAGGCGGCGTGCTGCAACCACGGTCACCGCATGCTGGGACTGGCATCTGAACGTGCTACGACCATGGTCACCGCGTGTTGGGATCAACACCTCGGCATACCACAACCGCTGTCACCGCGTGCTGGGACCAGCAACTCGGTGTGCTGCAACCGGTGCCTCGGTGTGCCGGGACGGCAACGCGGCACGCTGTGACTGGCAATCAGGGATGCAGCGGCTGGCAGATGGGATGTTGGGACCGCCAACCGGCGATGATGATGCAACCGGTAGTCGAGGATGCATCGACCGGTAGATGGAGATGCTGGGACCACCACCGGGGATGCAACAACTGCAGATGAGGATGCTGAGGATACTGGGGGCGGCCGGCGGGGATGCTACAACCATGACAGGCAGTGCTGCGACCGGCGTCGGAGGAAGCTGCAACAGGTGAGCCATGCTGCTGCAACCGGCGCAGTGCAGACTTGGGACTGATGCACGACGGAGGTGCAAGCATGGACGTGGTGCTGCAACCGGTAGCGATGGTGCTGGAACCGTAGACGGGCGGAGCAGCAAGTGATACGGCCGCAACTGTGCTGCTGCGACGGCAAGCTGCGACCGGCTAGACGAATTGCTATGACCGGCGACACGGGATGTTGCAGCAGTGCTACCAGCGGGAGGCAAACGGGGGGTGCTGCGATGGTGATGTCTATGATGGCCTGATGGGGGCAACGGTGCTGAGCATGGTGAGGGTGCTGCGGCAGTGCAGCTGTGGGCAGAGACGCAAAGCTGGTGGCGGCTGCGGGTTGCATGCTAGCCTCTATCTCCCTTTTCTTCTGGGTCGAACACGCATGGGAGAGAACGATGAGAAGAGAGAATTGACCCATGCGGGAAAGAGATGCATATCTGGTGGCTGCCGTTGGTTCAATCTGACGATGGGGAGCTGACCGATCGAGGCTGGCGCCAGTCGGCCGGCACCTAGCACTCGCCTTCTAGGTATGCTCAACGATTACGAGTTGAACGACTAGTCTAGACTAGTCGCTCGACTAGTCGACGAGTCGCAAAGTGAGTGTCGACTGCATTTCTCGTGTAGACTAGCAGACCGAGTCGAGCCGTGGATGGACTAGTCGACGACTAGTCTGGGCTAGTCGACCAAATCGAGTCAAGCGACTCAAAATTTTGGAGGTATAAATGAGCTTGCTGGACGAGGCCGCCGCCACTCATCGCCGGGACGGCGGACGTCGCAGCCAGGCGCGGCCGCCGGCTGGAGCTCGTGCTCGGGCGGCGGCCGTGGCCATGACCCGTAGGCGAGCGCGGCCCTAGCGCGGCCCTGAGACGAGAGAGAAGGAAGAGAGAGAGAGAGAGAGGGAGGGAGAGAGAGAGAGGAGAGGAAGGGAGGAGGCTCGCCGGCGGAAGCGGCCGGAGGCGCGGGGCACGCGCACGTGCTCCCGTGCATGTTGGCACTGACGGCTGAGTTGGGATCGATTGGGATCTTAGGGTTCCAGTGGCTGGGACGTGAGTTAAGTATAGGCTAGCCACTTGGGCCCAAATGGGCCAGCTGGTGGGGGCGTGCTGTGTGGCGCTGGGCTGGGCTGGGCCTGACTAGTGTTGGCTACCACTGCTGGCCTGTAATGTGCTGTACAGTTTACTACATACTACTCCATACTGCTACTATGTATTAGTAGTTGAGTACTACAGTACTATGTCGACTAGTCCAGCACTAGTCTAAGACTAGTCCGATTAGTCTCTGAGTCTCAACCTCGAAACGACTCGTCGACTCGTAATCCTTGGGTATGCTGAACAGAGAGATATTATGGCTAGTGAGGAAGATGTGGTAATAGTTACCTGAAAAATAATTTTGGTGTCATTATGAAAACATACTTCACAAAGAGATCATTTGTATCAGATTAACATGCCGGGTCTAAATAAAAAATTATAACAGTGGTAAAAGTTGAGATTTTTTATTGCTTGTTCCCTGAACGAATTAAATTCTTTTAATCGTATATCTTGGGCAGTGAAATTAGTAATCAGTTATACATGTGCAAACACATTCAAATTACAATAAGAAGACGAGATCACAAGAATTCATTCAAAATGTAAAAAAGTGACAAAGATCAACCATTCAAAGGTTTTGAAGTCTGCTTTGAGCTTTCGAACTTTGTCAGGGAGTATTTTTTTAATGTTGAGGTGACATATCTCCAAATAATTAGAGCTTTTCATCATGTAGTTCAGAATAGTACATTTGTATGCTATGGCTAGGAACAAATTCCTTTATTGAGACAGAAGGCCTGCTCTAATAGGTCTATAATGGTAGTACAATATCCTTCTGTGATTAAAATTCTCAGCCTCGTTGAACCCATTTGGAACTGTAAACTCATTGACATTGCTACTATACAGATTGCCACAAACCCCTAACCCCTAGTGCTAGAGTTAGAGGTTTCTCATCTACAAGGGCAGTCAGAAACCAGACAGATATTTGGGATTTAACTGACAATAGGAACTAACAATTTAGGCAAATGAGTCTCTGTAAAATTCAGTTTGTGTGAGTATTGCACTAGGTCATCTTCTGCTTTGCTAATAGCATGAGCAAAAGCTATGCGCTGTTTTTGCCAAGACCAAGGCCAGCGTGGCACTTCTGACGCTACCCCCACACTAGAGCCGGAGGAACCAGGAAAAGGGCCCTGGTTCTGGTTCTAAGAAAAAGAGGGCGACTGTGTGATGTGGCCTATCTTAAAGCTGGTAGAGGTACTCCACTGTCCAAACCTATATATTTCTATAGGAAAAAAGTTACTTTTGGATGTTTAACTTCAGCCAGTCTATTCTATAACCTCATTTTTTAAAACGTGCCCCTGATCCAAAAGAAGCTACTCCTATTTGAGAATTACCAGTGACAGAAACTACGCATACGCACCTCAAATGGAACAAAAATGTGAAAATTAAACAAACAAAATTGATCCTGCAGCAAAGCCAAAAGAAGCAGATGCCATTGGTTACGAAAACAGATGGCAGGGACCTTGTATCAGCTATCTGCAACTACTTCCCTACTACAGTTTTTTTTAGGGAACTTCCCTACTACAGCTTTTTAAAAGAAAAACGCTAATGCACCCAAAATGAACATGATGTTTCCTTAAAATAAGAGAAAATTGCACGTGACTCCCCATACTATCACGGCTTTCTTACTTGACTCCCTCCACTGGTTTCTCTGCCACCAGGGTCCACCAACTATCACGACTTCCTCACTTGGCTACTTTCCACCATCAGACTAACAGACTTAGCTGAGGTGGATGCCGAGTCGTTGATGCCTCGGTTTCTCTCATCTGGATGTTGAGATGTACGCTGATGTTTTTCAACACATTTTTTTACTCTCGATATACTCCCTCTGGACCTGGTCCTTTAAAAGCTGTAGGTTTGGGCATCAACATGCTCTTCAAAATACAACTTGGGACATTAATTTCAAGAAAGAATCACTGATTTTTGGTTCTCGAATATCCTCCCTCCCACACATCAAGCATCTCATCTCTCTTCCCTCAAAAAGCATCTCATCTCTCTTGCAATGAAGCTTTACAACCTTAAATAATGGCTATAATTGTGATGCTAAGTGCATGCTAATTTAGGTTAACTCATCTTAATTTTGTCTCTGCGAAGCTAATTAAAAAAGGGCAACCTGGTGCATGTAGCTCCCGCTTGCACAGGGTCCAGGGAAGGGTCCGACCACTTTGGGTCTATAGTACGCAGCCTTTCCCTACATTTCTGTAAGAGGCTGTTTCCAGGACTTGAACCCATGACCTCATGGTCACAAGGCAGCAGCTTTACCACTGCGCCAAGGCTCCCCTTCCTCTGCGAAGCTAATTGCATGCAAAAAAAAATCTAAGATCAATGATTTTGTAAATTAATGTCATGTGGGTCATAGCTGATTAACACTATCAGTTAGTTAGGTGATAAAGTTATTCTCAATGAGATATGCGCCTGCAGAGAATGTAAGTGTAGAGGGAGTTGTCAATATTCATCTAAGCATCAAGTGCAATTGATAGTTTAGGGACCATGGCCGCGGAGAAACCAGTCGAGGGAGCCAAGTCGGAAAGTCATGATAGTTTGATAAGTTCAAGTGCAATTTTCACTAAAATGAATACCTTCATGTGTAAAGTGAGATTAAAATTTACGTATAATGTGTTGCCGTGTCCAGTCCTGGATGCTCTGGGGCAAACAGCAACCATCTTGAGGCACAAAAGGCCAGAGGCAACATGAGATGCACTATGGACATATATGATATATCCACAGTTCATTTCATTCACCATGTACCAAGTTTTAAGCAGGTAACCTGTAGCGTCCATGAACTTGGCTCACAGGTTTATTTTAGTCCAAACAAAGGCACTTCGGGCTAATCATGCCTACATGCCGACACACGCTGGCAAATCAGTCACGTGCGCGACATGTGATGAAGTCAAACCAACTCAGCACCATTTTGAAATTAGGTCTCTATGTTTTCCCCGATCCTCTTCTCTGTTCCTAAACCTGCTTGTTTACCTCGAGGTATTTGAGCAGCTGAAGAGCAGGACAAGAGAGTGACCTCACCCTGCAGCTCCACTCCGTGTCCCGCGCGCGAGGTGCTAGCCGCAAACAGGCTCACAGAAGCCGAACTCATGCCGACAAGGCTCCCACAAAGGAGATACAAGCCCCGTGATATCCGGATCAGGCAGTGACGCTGTGAGTCATCACATGTGGTAGCTCCACATGGGCCATCACATGTGGTAGCCCCACATGGTGCTCAACACTGGCAGTGAAGTCACCTGGCTGAATTGCCAGCCCAGCGACGACTGGTACAACCAATTCGACCCAGTCTATGACCTCTTCCTCTTCTCCAATGTTACCTGCAACTGCCTGCGCAGCCACAACCTCAGACACTGCCCCTGCCTCAGCAGTACCTGGACCTAGTTTTATGAGGTGGCCTGCGGTGACGGCTCCTGCACTGCCGACAACTTCATTAGGTGTGGCCACAACAAGAAGGGACTCTTTGTGGACGCACTAGACTAATGGCACGCTATGACGACCCGCTCTCCTTCCCAGTGGCGGAGGACGGGAAATTTTTAAGTAGGGGCGGATCCTTCACCGGCAACCACCCGGTAACGAACACCAGCAACGCCGCCGCTGCTCACCTGCGGCCGTGCCTATGCCCACGGCTAAGCCCTGTCTAGCTTCCGCTGCTCCCGTTGTCCACCTACCCGCCGCGTGAAGTAGCCACTAGCGCTAGGGTTGGTCGCTCGCTCGAGTGTTTTTTTAGGGGTGCTCGCTCGAGTGGTGTGCGTGGTAGCTGCGCTAGATGCCTCTCCGTTTCGGTCCATAGGCTGCTATCACCGCCGGCCGATCGAAGCCTCTTCCGTTCGGTCAACTAGCAAATGATGACTAGGCAAGTAGCATGACCAGGCCCAAGATAGCATGCCTAGGTCAATCGATGCCTCATCCGTTCGGTCCATAGGATGCACAATGATGCCTTTTTCTTCCTCTTTTCGCAGCCATTCAGCGGGATGCATGATGCGTACACAGCGATGCTCACTAGTATAAAAAATTCTTCGCCAAATCAAGGTAGGGCGGAGGCCCAACCTCGCCCTACCGAGTCCTCCGCGAGTGCTCCTTCCCATCCGAGATCTCAATCACCTCCTCCCACCACCTCGTCAGCAACGACTCCCACAGAACAGGTTTTTTATGTGATTTTAGTAAATCTTGGTCTTTGTTTGCAAAATGAACACACAAGTCAAGTTCGTGGACTACTGTGCATCCACGCGCCAAGTCCGTGTACCTTCACTGCAATTTTCTTTGTAAACCACAACCATTTCAACCATCAGATTTGCAACATTGCGTCGAATTTAACCATATAACTTAAGACTTCTTTTATCAGATCTAATGAAAGCACAAGCTCATCCAGTTAACACAGTTCCCTAAAAGAACATTGTGTTGTCTTTCTAAAATACTTTGTTCTTTAGGGAGTGTTCGGTTCCTCTCCGCTCCTCTAACTCCGCTCCCGGAGCGGACCAAACTTCAGCTCACTTTGCCGGAGCTGCCAAAACCAAGCTCCACCAACTCTGCGGAGTGGAGAGATTCCGAACAGGGCCTTAATCTTGACAATGCAAAATGTCACCATTCAAGATTGGTGAATTGTGTGCAGAAACTAAGTAGTCAATGTGTCTTGCTGGAAGGAGTACAAAGTATATAAATGGCGAACGCAGTTTTCGTACATCATTAAGTGAGCTATCTAGGTACGTCAATTCAAACATTTTGCACGCTGCAGCACGAAGCTCCTCCTTACTTTTGTAAATCCCGTTTCATTATCATTAGTAGAAAAATCAACATTAGTTTACTTAGAGAGAGCAATAGGAACAAAGCAGAAAAAAAATTCATAATTTACATAATTGGATTGCACACTTGTCAGGTTCGCTCGATTCAATATCTATGTATAGAAAAGATCTATTTTTCATGTAACCGAGATAAATGAATTTTTTAGATGACATTTGCGCATGAGAAATCTAAATACTTGTGTGCATATCAGTAGTTAATCTCTACTATTAAAGGGAGTTGGTATGTTTCCCTCACCTCCTCCCCCGTTCCCCTACCTTGGTTTTTTCCTCTCCACGTCCCCCCTCCCCCCACCGGCCCACCCTGGTTTGGGATTATCTAAACCAAATCAGAACTTAAATTTCCTTGTCCTACTGGAAACCATGTCCTGCATTAACTCAATCAAATCTACCAACGCCATGTCTTGCATTAACTAAATCAAATCAAATCTTACCAAAACCTCAACTAAATCAAAACTTCCCTTGCCTTCCCCTACCCATACCCAAACCAAATTTTACAAAATCTCAACTAAATAAAAAACTTTCCTTGCCTTCATGTACCCATACTCAAATCAAATCAAATCTTACCAAAATCTAGAATATGGTGGATGTAAGTTATATGTCAGGCATGATTGGTGTTGAAACACCCCCGTTGCAACGCACGGGCAATTAGCTACTGTTTTAAAAATGGACAGTGCATACTTTAAAAAGACGGACAAAGGGAATACCACAGAACCACAAGTCTTACAGTACTTGATATTTTAAGAACTCTTGATGGTAAATATAAGAAATTCTGAAGTAGCCCATATGCTAGTATACTAAAAAAATGTTAACGAGTCACAAAAAAAATCAAACAGATGAAACGCCGATCATTCAATTACCTCTTCCTGTTTCAGGACTTCTGAAAGAGCGAGCTCCAACATAACCAATCCGATGAGCATTTCCTGACCTATGAGAGAGAGAAGGGTGTGATGAGTGCAAATTGAAACCATACTTCTGCTAATTGATATAAGCCACAATAATAGCCAGAATATAACTGCCTCTGTATACTGGTGTGCCAAGTGACAAATCAAAGAGAATGATAATAAAACGAACCAGTAATCCTTCTGCATTTGAATTAATCGTGCTTCAAGTCTTGCTAGAAGAGTTGTGCGCTCAAAGTCCTGCTTATCATGAGCTGGCTCTATGAAGTTAGCCTCAAGTACACCTGCAGATTAAATTGATTACTTCTCCAGCCGCTAATAAAATTAAAGTGATAACAACATACCAGAGTGACCTACCTATAACACCACGCCCACCACTTCCCGCAGCAGTCCACACTCTCCAGAAAGGCTAGAAGGAACAAATAAAATCTTAATGTGATAATAAAACAATCAAGCGATATAAAATAGAGAACGAGAATACTTCCTACTTCATTCATAAAGGTCAATGATATTTCCTAAGATCATTCAATTGCTAGTATAACTGGAAGTGAACAGACTAATAGTATCAACACCAACAAATAAACATCATCTGCTAAGTAGACGTGTACAAAATATTCATAACTAATCAAGCTTAAAAGCATGATCTGCAGGACCCACCAATGATCAATGTGTGACAAAATACACTAGTAGTCTGAGAAAGCAATAATTATAATAGCTAGATTAGGAAGAAATGGACTGAAACCTCACAACCAAGAAAAAGGGTATGCATAGAAAGAACCTTTATCAGACGGTTCCTGTGATATACATTAAATCCTTGGACGTCAATATGGAATTTTGCATCCTTAACAAAGCCAATCGTCACATCAGCTACCATCTGAGACACAGAAGATCAAATTTGGTGAGTAATGAACTACTGATATGTCATCAGGATTCAGGAAAAGGTCAAGAAGAAGAGGTTATAGTTTTCTACATTTGAATCTTTTGGAAGTCCATTAGTTGCAACCGGCCTGTATGTAACCTCTTTCTTCAGCATCATGTCAGTCACAATATTATGGTGCTCAATCTCTTTTCCACGTAAAAAAATTTGGAAAGCATCCGAAAGTCGGAGATACAAAATAGATGCATAACTCTGCAAAGGGAGATTACACAAGTCATCCTCAGCAACACGTCTAGCAGCGATAGTGCAAACTAGGACCAAAAAAATAGAAACATAATCAAAATAATGTGGCACAGAGACACAGATTCTAGTTTCTAAAACAAAAGAACAATTTCAATGTTGCAAATGAACCTATATACAACTACAAGCATTAGGTACTCTTGACAAAAATCACACACATCAACAGCTCAGCAGGCTCACGCAGTTTATAAGAAATCCAGGTGAGACATAAAAGATTCAGCTATTACTATTCAGTTTTTTTAGCAAGCAGCAGTTATCATTTTTGTCGCTGCATCAATGACGTCCGGCCCCGTGGTCGCAAACGTTCCAATGCAAATAAGATATTGGTCAATCTAAAAATGGAGACAATATAATGGCCTAATACCAAAGTTCTCATGATTATTGATTAGACTAACATTTTAAGAACAATGTCGAGTATCGACCATAAGTCAATCCCAACACATTATTGTGAACTTACCCTCAATGAATGCCTATATGTAAGGAAATGCTTGGAGTAAGGAAACCGCTTAGCCATCTCGATATTTTTCTCGTATCGACCATAAGTCAATCCCAACACATTATTGTGAACTTACCCTCAATGAATGCCTATATGTAAGGAAATGCTTGGAGTTAGGAAACCGCTTAGCCATCTCGATATTTTTCTCATCACGGTTACCACCTCTGAGTTGAATATCCTGTCCCCCTCAAACATCGTTAGAAACCAAGTTTGCTGATAAACCAAAATATGGTGGCACAGCGTCAGCTATTCAAACTTACATTTACATCAGCATCAAAGTCGAGTTCCAAATCTCCTTGGTCATCTTCCCAAAGATTGTAAATGATAACTCGAGTCCCCTGTTCCTTTATAGAACTAAACTGCAAATGTAGTGTACAGCAACTTTTAACACGAGATAATCTTATTGTCCTTGCAAAAATATGACATGCTGTAAATTCTTCATTTCTAAATCTAAATTAGATAGAAAACAAAACATATATACAACTCCATGTCACACATAGTACCAAATTTACAATATTTTTCTTGTCAGCAATCATATCAAGAGTTTTCGATTTTAAGCTGCCAGATATTTGACGATTTTTGGTTTTGCAACATTAATCATGAAATAAAGGGTATCTTCGTTGTGTCACAGGTCACAACTCACAAGTCACAAACTCACAATGCATAAGTGATGCAGCATAAGCTATACCTGTTCAAGTAGTTCTGCTTCAGTTCCATAAGGCGACCATGTAATGATAGTCTGTAGGCTTGTATTCCAATCAGCAAATGTACTCCGCAGCTTTCTTGTCCAATTCAGTCCATTTTTTTCATAATCAATCTGCAAAGTTTCACGAACATTGGAAATTCTAGAATTAAAATATTAAACACTTCACATAATAGATTTCCAGCAACTTAATCTTCATATAAACTGCAATGAACAAACATAATTCATTCTTTTTTTTTCAAATAAGCATTTGCAAAAATTACAGTAAAAATGTACATGATACAGTATATTAGAAATTGAGACTACCAATTTTGACAGAGCAATGATCCTACCATTGGAACAACAATATCCTCTTTACCAGTGCTCCTCAAAAAGGTATAAGATAGCATGCCAATGCTTTGTGTAGGCCTTCATGCAAATCGAAAACAATAGATCTCAGTTTCTTGGTAAGGAAAAAAAACTCAAAATGTGTAGAAATAGAAAGTCCACATGCAGCTCATATAACTATGTAACTGAAAATAAAAACTAAATTGCGATGGTCACATAGTACATTATGAGAATCACAACTAGTAAAAACACAAGGTACCTCCTCCCACAATACTATGTGCTGCTACAAACTACTCCATTCTTTCCTCCAAGCAATGTCTTATTTTACCTTTCAATATTTAAACAACAACAACAACAAAGCCTTTAGTCCCAAACAAGTTGGGGTAGGCTAGAGGTGAAACCCATAAGATCTCGCAACCAACTCATGGCTCTGGCACATGGATAGCAAGCTTCCACGCACCCCTGTCCATAGCTAGCTCTTTGGTGATACTCCAATCCTTCAGGTCTCTCTTAACGGACTCCTCCCATGTCAAATTCGGTGTACCCCGCCCTCTCTTGACATTCTCCGCACGCTTTAGCCGTCCGCTATGCACTGGAGCTTCTGGAGGCCTGCGCTGAATATGCCCAAACCATCTCAGACGATGTTGGACAAGCTTCTCGTCAATTGGTGCTACCCCAACTCTATCTCGTATATCATCATTCCGGACTCGATCCTTCCTCGTGTGGCCACACATCCATCTCAACATACGCATCATAATATGTTGGCAATACAAATTATAGAAGTAGTCGATGTACTAAACACTCACTTTGAATGATGAGGGAATAACACGACAAGGAAGACATTGCAGGTAAATTTGATTTATATGCTACCTCTATACTCTATACATTATACCAGGAGATATCAATTTTTATCTGGTATCTAAACTGAACTGGTTTGATTTGTAAGGCTACACAATATTCATGGTAAAAACCAGAACATCAGCACCAAGTCTAAACTGAACTGATTTGATTTGATTTGATTTACTAAACAAATGTTGTTTAGATAGTTTGGTAAGGCTAGACAATATTCATGGTAAAAACCATCATCTAGATCAAGTTGCTACAGCCTACAGGGATGGGCAATATGTTGCGACAACCTTTTGCCTTCTTTTCCACGGCTACGGGAAAAGACCAGAACATCAGCACCAAGTCTCATTGTACTTGTCTTGAAACCATTTCCATCTGCAAGGCAGCAAAGCAAGGAAATGAAAAGCTTCATAGTTTGACCTGCATACTAAAACATTTCAATGCATCAACTGCACGTGTTCAGGTAATTTACTCTTCCAACTTACATTGTCCAATGGTATTTGCAACTTGGCTCTTGGCCGAATAACCCAAGGACATGCACTGACGCATTTTATCTGGGTCCATTCCACCACCATTATCTAGGCAATAAGTTAAAAAAACTAACATAAATAAATATACAAAATTATGTCACTGTTGCTCCATTTGTATTTTCCATCTAAACCTGTTATCCTAACAAGGTATTGCACTTGAATTTGAAATAACATTGAATTGGATCGTATTCAGGAGCTGATCGAATAAGGGGCTTATAAACTTGTAAGGTTAGTCGGACTATTTTATCCATTAGGTTTTATTTTGTAAGGTTCTCTAAACTAAATTTGGCTCATCCGTCAAATAATTGGTAAGACAAAATACCATGTGTTTTATATGGCATACGGGATATGGCATCCTATACTAGAGTGTTGTATACTTATACTCCATTTAACATGCTATGTAAATACAAGAAAATAATTTTAGGGATCTCGGATCTGTCGAGGTGAAGTAAAAAAAGCTTATGTACTTAAGTGAGACAATAACAATTGTTAGGACGGTGATGCAGTTTGCTTTAGTTTAAACTGGTGGTAATCAGCCGTATAAGTTCATGTTTAGGTCTATCATGAGTCCAGCGGGAGATGTTTCTTTTGGTAACTTGATCCAGGTAAAGATATTCTTATTTTCAATATGTTTTCTAGTCAAATAACAAGAACGGAGTATATGTCGTCATCAGTATATAAATAAAGAGGACAGAAATCGCACCTTCAACAAGGAGCATTCTTGTTTTGTCTTTACTATTCTCCAACATGTCAATGTTCACAAACGTAGCTCCATTTCTAACCTAAAAAGGAAGCCAATCAGTAATCAGGCAAGGATTTGATTCTACAAACTAGAACAACTTAGGCCTCCTTTGGTTCATAGGATAGGAATAATATAGGAATAGGAAAATCATAGGAAGTGAGATGACATGCATCTCAAATCCTATAGAGAAAGAGATGTCATTTGATGCATAGGATAGGATTTTTTTCCATTGAGTCTAGGCTAATGTTTTTTTCCCTTTGAAATGTGAAGGATTGATTCCTATATACGTAGGAATAGGAATCCATTCCTTTAAACTAAAGGGCTTCAAAGGAATTTTTCCTACAAAGTTCCTATCCTTTGCAATTCCTACAATATTCCTATGAACCAAAGGAGGCCTTATATCTTCTTTAGCTTACTTCATCGAGTGAGTTGTCCAGAAGCTCAGCCAAAGCTGTAACATTGATCAAAGTATATATTAGCCAACTGACATGATCAAAGATTGAAGGGTGATGTGAACAAACAATGCATTGCTGATTGTTGTGTTTTCTTAAGTGTTTGTGTGAGGAAACAAGAAAGACAGAAACAAGGTGAAACGAAGATGAAGACCATACCCCCTAGAGCCCACTTGTGGCTTGTTGCATTTGAGTGCAAAAATTTAGGATGTACGCGGACATGTTCCAATCCAGATGCTGAAATAAGTAGTTGAGAATACAAAAAAACAAGAGTTACTATTTTTAGTGGTGAGGATAAAAAGCTAACAAGTTCCCAAGAAATTCTTTCCGTCCATTCAACAAGGCTCATCCCTATTGAAACACATAAGTTTCTAAGATAATAGCAAATATGCCAATTGAGCTGCTATCTTCCATCAGATAAATCCATGAAAAAAGCCAGGACATTGAATGAAATGAGAATGTTTACAGTCCACACAATTAGGAGTATAAAGGGGCAGCCCCAGTGCATGTAGCTCCCGCTTGCGCAGGGTCTGGGGAAGGGTCCGACCACTTTGGGTCTATTGTACGCAGCCTTTCCCTACATTTCTGCAAGAGGCTGTTTCCAGGACTTGAACCCGTGACCGCATGGTCACAAGGCAGCAGCTTTACCACTGCGCCAAGGCTCCCCTTCAGTCCACACAATTAGGAGTATATTGTATTTTATTACTTCACATATTCATAAGGTTGTTTTGAGAAGTATCAGCACAAAACTATGCAGATGTACAGTAGTATAAACATACGCTGGCCAAAATGCCCTGGCAGTAGACGGAAATAGTTTACAATGAAATCATGGACTGGGGCATCAAAAACATTTTCTATGCTAAGTGTAGTCTCGGTTTGGTCGAAGTTGATCCCATTCTTACAGGGATTCACCCCACAATGCAAACCCGGAATCGTATGTTTTGGTAATGATGACCGGTCCGGCGTTCATATGGGTAGGGTTTATTTGTGATATTTCTAAATAAATGCTCTCCATTCTATTCGCACATCATTTGTTGTAATAATCTCAAATGTCAGATCGCATGAGATTCCTCAGTAAAGAACCAAACCGCTCAGATTCTTAAAGCATTCGTGCACCGATCGACCTTCAGCGCGTGTAAAGATTAACAAGAAAAAGGGGGAACAGAAGAAACATTCGCTCTTGCATCCAATTAGCCATGTCTGACGGGAACACCGCATGCAAATAAAGCAATGAGAAGAGGCAGTGGCTTCACACGAATCGTAAGAAGATGAAATAATACCAGATGGCGGCGGCTCCGCACCCCCAGCCGGATTCCCGTCGTAGTCCCCGGCCTTCCAGAACTGCTTCGTCGTGCCCCTCGACGGCTGTGGAGGCGCCGGTAGCGGATCGAGGAAGCCTGGTGGCACGTCCACGCCGACCACGGGCCCCGCGGAAACCCTAGCCCGCTTCCCCGCGGCGCTGTCCCCTGCCGCGCTGTGGGACCTCTTTGCGCTGCCGCTGACGCCGCCGTCAGAGTCGGAGTCGCTGCTGCTGAGCTCTATGAACTGAACCGGGGCGCGCGGTCCGCCGCCGCCGGCGCCAGTCGCCGGCAGCGTGAGGCGCTCGTCGGCCGCCTCGGTTTTCACCACCCGGGGGTTCATGAGCGAAACAGAAAGGTGGAGGGGGCCGGTCCGTGAATCGGGGCCTCTTTCCTGATTTCTCGAATTAATTGTTTTGCCCTTTACATCGCCGAGGGGTTTTATAGTGCAACGCTGACCTGTGCCCCCATGATGACCACCTTGGTGGAGGCCACCCGTCAGTGGCCGTAGACGCGCCCAACTTTTGCAGGTGGATTTAAGAGCGATATGCCAGTGTGGTAAATGTAGCCCTGAAACCGCTACGTTCCGTTCTCCTTTGGGCATCTCCCAACAGTTATGAAATAGGTGTCGGTAATTTGTCATCTAGAATATAGTGATGATGTGGCATGTATTAAATGTGAAGAGAGAGCAAAGTTGTATGTAGATTAACCAACAACAATTGCACAGGCTTCAAAATAAAATAGAGAGCAATCATATTTATTGTCTCATCATCTATTGAATAGCTTACATACAACCCATTGAAATAGTAGTATGATAGCTTATTGGTTGATGCCATTAACATTTTACCAATAAAACTAACATACAATTTGTTGAAGATGCCCTTACTGTTTCACCCGTGTCGTTCCCAGGTGGCCATACGCACGGAATTGTCGAAGCATCTACAGACTACAGCCCCTGCACGCCGCTCGGACATCCGATACTTCTCCACTACAGCAAACACTAGCAGCCACGGGCATTTAAAAAAAATCTACTGGTTGCATATGTAAACATAACCGCGGAATGATCCGTGCATTTGTGTGGCTGGATTTTAAATGCACTACCATAAATGTCTTCATTTATACATGTCCTTAAGTATATGATTTTGACTAATATTTTTTATATGAACATGCATTTGCAATATCATACTAGTTTTTTTAAGTAAAAGGTTGACCATTATCTACCTTATGCATTCAAAATGAATCGAACCTGGATGACCGGTGGTCAATTACATGTGTAAGTTTGGGTGGGAGCTGAGTGCTAATATTTTTATATGAACATGCATTTGCAATATCATAGTTTTTTTAAGTAAAAGGTGTACCATTATCTACCTTATGTATTCAAAACAGATCAAACCCGTATGACCAATGGTCAATTACATGTGTAAGTTTGGGTGGGAGCTGGGCGCTCCCCCCCTCTCTCAGGGCATTTCTAACTGATCCCCCCAATACGGCCATAAGGGAGTAAAATTTTCAGTTTACTCCCTTAAGGCGGATCTAGCCGATCCCCTGAAAACGTTAACGGAGTATAATTTCACTCCAACTCTCTATCCCCCTCCCCCAAGATTTCCCTAAATATACTACATCGTGCCGCAACCGACTAAAACTCCC